AAGCTAGAACCAAAGCCCTCAAAACGAGACACAAGATTCCCAGAAATCCAGAAGAAACCACTCCACAGAACACGAAAAATACTTCATCCAGTCCAGCGAAGCCCAAGGGATTTCTAAATCCACCGGAAGGAGAAGAGATATCTGAAACATTTCTTGGAGAAGGAGAGAAGCCAATGGATATCAACGAAGAGACCTCAAAGGACTCAGGTGGAAACATATTCACAGAAAATCTTTCACAAGATGTTATTTACAGGATCATTTTGGGTGATGGCGAGAGCCCATCTCAAACTCAAAAGAACCCAAACCAGCCAGAGTTAGTTCGTAATCCTCTCACTGAAATCACAAATACTAACAAAAACAAAACTAACAGAATAATTGAGACTAATCCTCTACCTTCAAGCTCAAACAATCTATTTCCTCACAGCCCTTACTTCCCCAATTTCGAGGAAAAGGGGAAAGAAAATTAAATAAACTCCTGTTCAATTCCAAAAATGACTTCAAACCAACAGTTAAAAATAAGACAATGGAATAGTAGAAGACTTATAAATAAGTCCCACCTCACTCCAAAACTAAGCAAAGAATTCGATATAATATTATTATCAGAAATAAAATTAACTAAAGAAAAACCTTATGGAATCATAAACATGAAACTCCACAGGAAAGAGAGAGTCGAAGAGGATCAGGGAGGCGGAGTAGCTGTTGCTGTGAAAGCAGACATACAGTGGCACCCTGTTGACCTAGATCATGAAATCTTCAACAACAATAAGTTTGAGATAGCTGGAATATATATACAATTGAACAATCAGCAAAAAATCTACTGTTTTTCTGTGTACAAGCCCCCAAAATTCCACATAAAAGAGGAAGAATGGACAAAACTTTTTGAAGAAATTAAGCTAATAACAAAAGACAATCCAATGATCATAGGCGGAGACTTGAACGCTAAACATGATTTCTGGAGAAGTGTCAGAGCAAATCCATCAGGAAGAAGTCTTATGAAATCCTTACCGAAATTTGACCTACACATATTAAATAACGATAAACACACACGTTATGATAAACACTCCAATACCACTGATGCTATGGACCTTACATTGGTAAACAGTGCACTGGCTTTTAAGAGCGCCTGGGACGTAGCTGACATTTCGTCATAATCATCCAAATCAATAGCATGGTGTTGAAAGACAGGGCACACAGGCCTGGCTTGAACGCAAGAAAAACTGACTGGGAAAAGTTCAAAACAAACATTGTACAAGAAATAAATCAAAACAATTTCCTGGACAAAAACCACTTGAACTTATACTCCAAACTCTGCAAATCAATCATCAAGAACGTCAAAGCATGTGGTGGCAAAGAAAATATGACAAGAAACAAAAATAAAAACACCAAAGAGCAAGAAACAAACCAAGAATCGAAGAACGATTCCCGAAGATCTCCTAAATGTTGGTGGGACGAAGAACAATGTAACCCAATAATAGAGAGGAGAACCAAAGCCTTGAAGAAACTAAAAGATGACAACACTGCTGAGAACCTACAGGAATACGAGAGAGTCTTAGTGGAAACCCAGAAGGAACTCAGGAAGATAAAAAGAAAATACATGGATAATTACATAACATCCATGGACCCAAATACTCCCCTACAAGTGCTCTGGGACACAGTGAGGAAATATAACCAGCGAAAAGGAAGAAGAACAAATTAAAATAGCCATAAACAAACTAATCGAGGATATTCCTGACAATTACGAGGAACCAAAAGCGTCTGAGGAAGCGGGTAGGAATGCCATTAACCATCTGTGGTTCTCCATCTCACTACAAGAGGTAAAAACAATCATAAATAAATTTAAAAAAGTCTCAGCAGCGGGTCCTGACCTCATATCGAACTCAATTATTAAAAACTTACCAGACGACTCATTGAAATTGCTCACATACATCTTTAATAGAATCTTGGAAACAGGGGAAACCCTTAATGAATGGAGATCATTCGACATATGCTTGATACCCAAACCAGGTAACAATGGACTAAGACCTATCTCTTTAGCTTCATGCATAATGAAAGTGTTCGAAAAAGCCTTCATGAACAGATTTGAATATTTTCTCGAAACCGAACTGGTTATACCGACATCTCAATTTGGTTTCCGAAAGGCTAAATCATGCCTAGATAATCTAGCTATTTTCACCACCGACATTAAGAATGCATTTGCAACGAAGCAGCTTTTTGGGGCAACTTTTATAGATATAGAAGGAGCCTATGACAATGTCCGACCCGAAATACTCATAAGAAATCTAGAGGAACTCCGATTACCCAAAAGAATAATTAACGTCATAGCCAACCTCATAGGACCACGAAAAGTAAAATTTTATAACGCAGGAGAACTCATCGAAGAAAAAACAATCAACGGCCTCCCACAAGGATGTGTCTCGAGCCCAGCTCTCTTCAACGTGTACATGAGAAAAATAAATCATAATATTGGTCTCTGCTGCTCGAAACAGTTCGCAGATGACTGGATCGTCTACTCTAAAAGAGATAACGTCGAAGACTGCATAGAGGAATTGAACGATATTCTGGATAGACTCAATGAGTGGGTAAGACAACTCGGACTGAGAATCTCCACCAAAAAAACCAAATTCATGATATTCAGCCGGAAAAAATCATTACCAGAAAACCCACATATAATCATAGGAAATAATGAGATCAACAGAGTTGAAACCGTTCGTTTTCTTGGCACAATCCTAGACTTCAAGCTAAACTGGAAAGCTTTTACTGACCACGTGAAAAACAACATCAATAAATCCACATCAGTTTTGAAATCCTTATCTAAAAAAGCTTATGGAATTCATCCCTCAACAGCTCTCACGGTTTCCAAATTACTTGTAAGAGCTCGAGCAGAATGGGCAGGCCTCTGCTCCCTTTCAGCATGCAACACAAATAAAGAAAAACTCACTAGCGCATTGAACGCTGCACTAAGATGCGTCCTTGGGTGCTACCCATCAACTCCTATTAACATCCTATACGATTTGGCTGGACAACCTTCTCTGGAACTGAGAGTCGAGAAGTTAACCTGTCGATATATAGCGAGAAGCTATACAGACAAAAAACACCCACTTACCCCTAAACTAGCATACTTGGAAAGGTTAAAAGCCAGAGCTAAAACTCCAAACTATTGTGACTCACTAAACTCCAGAATTTGGAAAGAAGGCCAAGAAAAAATAAAGAAACTAGAGAGACATGAACTTATTTCATGCTACGAGTTCCCCCTAAAAGCCCAACTCGACCCAATAAAAATCGAAATCGAACTAGGCAGAAAAATCAAGAGAAAAGAATTAATGCCAGACGACTTCGAACAGGAACTAACCAAATCCAAACCGGATTGGAGTATTTTCTACACAGGTGGATCAAGAAAAGACAACGAAGAGTTTGCTGGACTAGCAGTTATCAACTCAGCACTAAAAATAGAGAGACTATTCAAAATAGACGCCAAAGCCTGTATATTCGAAGTAGAAGCAATGGCAATCATTCAGTCCCTTAAAATTATAAAACAATCAATATTACAAAAATCAATCATCTGCTCAGACTCTCTCAGCACAATTCAAGCTCTGAAAAACGTTGAGCTTAATGGAAAATCACACAAATACATTCTAGAAATCAAATCTCTCTTAAGCCAAATCAAATCATCAGGAAGAAAGATAGAAATTTGGTGGAGTCCGGGCCACCTGGGCATACCAGGGAACGAAAAGGCGGACAGAGCAGCCAACAAAGCCAGAACCGCAGGTAAAACAATCGAATTTAAATACAACCTTCGAATTTTCTACAACGAACTAGAAAAAAACTACAAGAAAAAGCACAAGAAAATCACGAGAGAATCTTTCAAAAATAAAAGCGTCACATATGCAAAATTATGGGATGTGGGCAGAACACAACCATGGTTCCATAAACTAAACCTACCAAGATACATCACAATAATCAATAGACTAAGAGCAAATCATATGTGCACAGGACAATACTTACACAAAATAAAAAGAAAAGAAGACAGCAGCTGCCCATGTGGCCATGAAGTTCAAGACATTAACCACATCTTCTGGTCATGTGATCTAACGAAAGAACAATCTATCAACTTAGCCTACTACCTCCAAACAGAAAAGAAAATCGATCCACCATGGGAAATCAGAAGCCTCGCCTTCACCCAAGATGCTGAATTGCTAGAGAAAATAGCAGAATTCTTATACAACATCAGAGACAAAATTGATCTCACCCACTCATCCCCAGAAATTGAATAAAAGCGCCAACCGAACAAGGTAACGCTACAGTAACAACACTCTATACTGAGAGTACAGAATGAAGTTGGCTGAGTTACCTAGGGTATTAAGGCCAGCTGCGCAAGCAGCACAAGGAAGAAGAAGAAGAACTTGAGAGAGTGAAAAGACTCGACAGGTTCACCAATTCGAGACGCATTTTAATATTATTTCAATAATTAGAATAACATTCAATAAAAATTATGTGACACCCGTAGGTGATGAGAAAAAATCAATCAATTTGATAAACAAAATCAATATTCAAAAAATGTTTAAATGCACACTTAAATAGTTACTTGAAAAGTGGAAAATTTCGTGCTCAGCGATTGAATCAGGGGTTCAGAACAATAAGACTCCTCTCCCATTCCCCCGCCCCGGTGATTTACAAACGAAACACCTTAAACGCTGGTTAAATCCTGAATAAACCCTGATTAAATCTCGGCACACACTGATTAAACCTTGATTAAATCTGGACCGAAATTGCATTCGAGTCTAGAGAGTGTCTGAATGTAGAATTATTTGACAAACCGAAGTAATACGCAAAATGTTGATGGCATTTCAATTGATGATAGCACTATGACCTAAAAAAATAGAAGAGAATAGTGAAACAAGAATTGAAAAAAAAGAACCCACTCGGAAGGAAATTGTTAATTTAGTAGCAACAATTACTACATTCATGTATAAAAAAATGCAATTGTCCACTTGTTTGTCTAGACATTGGGAGAATCTGTAATTCTGCGAGACGATTTAGTCGCCTTATCCCCGGAATGGCTTTGGCGAGACGTAATCGGTTGGCAGTTGAACCCTGATCAGCGAGGACGTTTAGGAAGTCGCACAACAGGTGTTTACACTATAGAGGATTTTCAAGCAAGATCTCCATGCCCTGCGAATCAAGCTCTCCAGGTTCTCCAAGCAACGAACTTCTGCATTCCCTGTGACGTAGAGGACGACGAGTTGGAGTACGAAATTCCCTGTTTGAATTTGGTGGAACGTCTCCCAGGTCTGTGGGAGCCCTGGGAGTCCTGTTCAACGGCACTACCTCACGCCGGACTCAGGTTATTCCCTGGGGAAGCTCCTCTGTATCATCTGACACCAATTTTTCCACATTTACAATCACAATTGAGGAGAATCACTCAAACTTGGGATCCGAGGGACTCTGATCTATACCAGTGGTGGCGAGGATCGAAACTTTGTGTAGGACCATGTGAAAGTATTATAACTCTTGAAGAAGAGGACCAGGGCTACATCGAACTGCAGGTCAGGGGTCCAAGAGGCTCCGGTTCCCAGTGTTTTGCACTCTTAGGGGTGATTTTCGATGCTATAGATGCTACAATCGATATGGTAGCACCTGCGCTACTTCTGGAGAAACATTGGCTGTCTCCCAGTGAACTCAGGGATTACGATGAGGTTCTGCACATCTGGGAGCCTGCACCCATGCTATCATCTTTGTTAGAGAAAGGATTCGATGAAGCTAAGTTCAAAAATGCCTTTAATGGATGTGAGGAGAGTGTTTGGGAAATTGTTGGCTGTGGTTCTGCTTTATTGGATACTTGTATTCCTGGGACAAGGCAGCCGGTTAAGTTCATCAAGCCTGGGGTTCAAAGGAAATTGGCTCAGATGCTGGATCCTCCTGATCCACATGGAAAAGACTGGTGTCTGCTTGCTGTTAGACTGGGACTTGGAGACCGAGTGGCTAATTTGGATAGCAATGTGGATAGCCCCACATTGAGGTAATTTCTCTCTTCCTATATTTTTTTGTGAATATAAAATTCTTAACTGATCTCCAAAAGAAATGTTTCAATAACTTCTTGAATCTAATAGGTTTCGACCGAAATGTCATGAAATTTCGTTTTTAGGAAATATAATTTCCAACAACCGAGATTTCGTAATAAAGCTGATAAGAGAGGAATAACAGAAATGTACTAGTAAATGTCATAGCATAAAAATTTGGAAAAAGTCTTCCTTTCAATTAGATTTTTGACGTAGAGTGATTTCATTGCATTTGATGACGGACGAATATATCGTCGATCGCATTTTCGTTAGGGGAGGGTGGGGCAATGTGGACACTTCAAGAATTCTTTTTAGAAAATTTCTGTATGTCCGGGCCTGATAGTGCGGTTTTTGGTTTACCACTTTTTAGAAAATATAACATTAATACGCGAAAATTCATTGATATAGATGTGGAATTTTGACCCACAGGAGGTACTATTTAAGCTCAACTTCGGTGCACAATTTCAGCCCGATCGGTCCACTAGTTCCTGAGATAACCAACTTTTTGTATAAAACTATTTTGGTCAATATCTCAAAAACTACTTGACCGATTTCATTTTTTTTTTCAAAATACTCGTCTCGATGTCTTCTATCTAAGTCAATGAAAATATGTAGGGGAGGTTGGGGTAAAACGGACACTTTTGACTTTTTTAAAAATATTAATGAGGTGTTGAAATATTGATAAAATTTAATTACTTTTCTTTCAATACAAAGAACAATTCTTTCACTTTGTGATGAGCCTAAATTGAGCTCAACTTATAAATTTGTTTCTGAGTTATGAATAATTTTAAAAAAGTCTAAAGTGTCCATTTTACCCCACCCTCCCTTATACCCATTCATATGAAGTTTACGAGATATTTCCGATTTTGCATTTTTTGCCTAAATTCCTTTTGTACGCGATAACTCAAAATAAAATCGAGATAGGAAAACAGAGTTCAGTAATCCAAGATGATAATCGTTGTAAAAAAAAAAACATGAAACATGCTTCCTGTCACAGGGACAGGGAATGTGATATACATTAGGATGGCTCAAACGTTGAAAAAATCGAATTTCGATTCTTTTTATTCTGAATATGGTAACGAAAATAATGAAGAACCCATAGGAATTTTTTCAAACTTTAAAAATTATTTTTGTACTGGCGCATAGCAGTTCAATTTGCTATGCACTTTTACATGTTCTCATAAAGAGAATGTGATAATAATTTTTTTAATACTCAATTACTCAATTTATCGCTATTACCCTTTGTAGACTTTCTGAAAGGCAGGTAAGAAATACATACAAAAAAATTTCTCTGCAAAATAGCTATTTGTTATTGAAATAAAAATCCGGATTGATGCGAGATTTAGAGGCCTTCAGACGCCTCTACAAGTCCTACGGAGTGTCTATTATTCGCCTAGATTTGATAGAATGATCAATGAACTATTTGGCAATCGTTTGGGAAGGAAAACAAAAATTATAATAAATCCAATGCCGAGTAAAATGCGACAGGTACAAGGACAGGTGTCCGGCTTATCCGGTGCTTCCACAACGGTCGTATAAACTGATATTGAACCCAGTCAAAAAAATTGTACCTGAGGTACTGACCCTTTTAAGGAAGGGACCGACCTTTCAACCCGCGCGTCTGCTGACCGTACATGTTTTTATTTCTTCCATAAAATTGTTATAGTTACAAATTTTTTCATTTCAACATTTACATGGTTGAATCGATCAATTTACAGCAATTTCAACAAAATTTGAATAGAAGAAATAGCTTAATTCTAAATAGTACCATGCCATTAATATAATTTTCATGTATCATTGATATTTAATACTATTAATATTAGTTTCCAATTATTTTTTTTGCTTCCGAATGGAAGCATTGTAATCGTGCTGTTTTCACATGTTCTAATTTTGATTGGAAATTATGTAGAATGGTCTGAAACATAAAAATACGAAGTTTGACGACCATGTCTGTCGGTGTCAATGTCCATCGCCACCTTTCCGGTGGTCGATTTTTGGAAAATTGAAAATTTGGAAAAAATCTGAAATTTTGTTAGATTATAGACCTTAACAAGGACTAACTCTGTACGAAAGTTCAGCCCGATTAATTAAATAGTTTTTGAGAAAAAGCTATTCGTTTTTAAATCGTTTTTCGCTAATATCTTCGAAGCTAGTCAACCGATTTCAATTTTTTTTTTCAAAATATTCGTTTCGATGCCTTCTATCCGAATCAATCAAAACATATATACCCGTTCATACAAAGTTTTCGAGATATTTCCGTTTTTCTGTTTTTTCATAAAAATCCTTGTAATTACTCTTGCTTGTACAAAAATTGAGATATCAACTTGAAATTTGGACAGAGTCTTCCTCTCATGATAATAATCCTTCCTGTTGAAAATGAGCTCAATCGCATGAGTAGTTTCTGAGATATTTGACTTTCTCTAAAAACCTTTCATGTGCAATATCTTAAAAACTACGCAACCGACTTCAATTTTTTTTTTCAAATATTTACTTCGATGCCTTCTATCCGAATCAATCAAAACATATATACCCATTCATACAAAGTTTTCGAGATATGTCCGTTTGTTTGTTTTTTCATCAGGAGGCAGTTATTTCCACTGACATTGTTGATATCTAATCTGAGCGGGTTTGGTGTTTCCATTTTTTTCTTTCTTTAATAGAATGATTACAGATCCATTCGGAAGCTTACTACCAATGGGATTGGTAGAAATGAAAAAAAGAAAAAGAGTTATAACACATAAAGTAACGGTCAGATGGCTTCGGCCAAAAAAGCTCGAACCCCTGCTTGTTTTAAATAGCATTCTATTGGAATGCAACGAGAGGCAGCAAATTTAAAGGTATTCGTTCATTATCCGAAAAAAAATACTTTCAATTCCACTTCAGTTCTCCTCTATATAGTGAAAAATTCATAAAATTGCACATAACAATAAAAATGCAATAGAAATTCTAAAGCACTTGTAATAGATAGATGATATTTCCCCACAAATAAAATCAAATTATTCGAACTCTTGTTACCTAATGAATCATCATGGGAATTAAATACGTTAAACGCTGTTCAGAGGCTTTTTTGATGAGCTTTTCAATGAGTATCGAATATGTATAGTTAATTGAGAAGAGAATCTCGGAGAAAAATTTCAATAGCGAAGTGGTCAATCGGCCCAAGTCGACTTGGATTCCTGTTGAGTTTTCATACAATAATCTCGGAATCTATGGGATATATTGAAGTTTTTATAATAACCGTTTTTGTAGAGCGGAGCAAGGTCTAAAAGAAAGATGTCTACGAAAATTACGTGATTGTTCAAAAACTTGAAGTATACTGAAATCGACATGAACCGAGATTGCTCAGGTCAATATGAATTTTTCGTTACGCTGTGTTTTTCAGATAGTTCTCTAATGAAAACTGTAATTCCTCCCTGGTGCAGCCAGATGTCAATGCCCGCAATTTTCTGACCACGAGCATTGCATCTTGTTTAGAGTTTTCACCTCTCGTGAGCAAATCATTGTATTCGCTCACGAGAGATACGCTTCTCTCAGCTACGTCGTTTGTCCCTTGGAGGGATCTCACAGTTTTCAAAGCATTCCCATAATCTTCTCTTTCTCCCCACTTCATTGGATCGATATCCAAAAAAGTATGGTCCAGATTCAAGATTTCGAAGAATTTAATTGTGTTTTGCGTCACAAATTGGTCTAGACTCAACTCTTGGTTGAATTTTCGACCCTTATCTCCTGATTTTCTCCTCTTCCGATCATCTTGTAATGGGGAGCGAGATTTGATAGCATCGCACATTCTCCTTTTCATATCTATATTGACATTATCGTCGAAGAATGCAAAAGCGATGAGTTCATCTGATAAGTACCAGAGATGGTTCGCAAATTTATCAAATACAGCGTCATAAACTCCTGACAATGCTGAATTATCCGTAGTCAACTTTTTCAATAATTGCATGATGAATGGGGCCAAGAGCTCTGAAGCGATTACCATCCGGAAGATTTCCGCCCAAGAATATGATGACGAGTTCCAGAAACTCTTTGGAGTCCTTCCGACTGTTGTTGATCTATGGAGTGATAAATGAAGAAGAGATTGAGTTTCGTAATTTAATAAGGTAAAGGGAAATGATTTTGCCATAATAAATACTGTCGAATCCTTTACCACCTACCTCTAATTGGGAATATGCGAAAGCAAGGGCATTTTTCGCCTCATCCTCAACTGCGGCTTGGACATCAGTATCTCACACTCCTGGAGAAAATTTACTTTTTTCGATGTCCGTCCACTGCCCTTGAAATCTCTTAAAAATGGGAATTTCTCTTAAAAATGGGACTTTCGCCATTTGCGCTGCCTATGTTGCTGGAAGTGGTATCAAATACCATGGCACATACTTCATTGACAAGTCCCCATTCGTCCAGGCACGTAAAGATGGCATTTACCTGCTCTTCACCACTTCCTCGGTCCAGCTTTGGCACTCCGAACAATTCGTCTCCCTCGATACATGATACAAGAATCGGAAGTCGGTCGACTTTGTTGAATTTGTTGTCTATGGCTGGTAGTAGTTTACCATCCCAATGAATGGTCGTAAAACTGGGGGAGTTATTTTTGATATCGTCTTTGATGGTGTCATTCAGAGATTTACGTTGGGTCCGTCTGTCCCTACGGACCGTTTCGCGACTTAGATGAACGTCTTCCAGAGTGACGCCAGCTAACATGAGGGTAGACGCTAGAATCCGTGCAGCCATGCAGTCGCTAACTTTGACTCGATCCAACACAGCAGTAAGGTCCGGAGTCAGGATCTTCATTTTCTTTGCCTTTTTGGGCTGCACGAACCAGCGGAAATCTCCATCAGCTTCTTCTTCATCTTCAAAGTACAGAAACAGCTCATCGAGATCTCCCTCATCATCCCACTGATAATTGCTATAATTCACAAGAATCCCGCTAGGCTCATCTGCAAAATAATGAGAATTCATT